GTATATTATGTGAGTGTATCTTAGTGAAAATTTTATTATTACTCACGTTTGCCACTTTACCCTACTCGACTGTGTAGTAGATTTAACCTTGTTATCATATGCGGCGATAGCAAAGATTAATATAATTTATTGAAATCTGAGTTATATTGCTACATTTACTGAGTATATAGGGCGCACTATAAGTTTCTGAACTGGCCACTTACATAAACAATATTTAAAAAGTAATTACAACATTTGAAAATGGAACTCTTTGGCTGTAGAATACAGTTCGTTTCATCTGACTGTCACTTGTTTTTACATTGTGGCGTCATTTTAGAAATTGGTTGTCTACATCACCATGGATTTAACTCGTGAACATTTTCGTAGTATGATCTTCTATGACTTGAGCTTCGCTCAGCTTCAAACTGCTTTTGACGACTATTTATAGCAGGTTTGCAGAATTCAAACCTCAGAATTCAATAATCTCAGTGCCGAGTTTCGTGATGGTCGCCCATCCACTGCTGTGAACAACAAAAACATCGATGCTGTGCGCCCTATGATTAAAACAGACAGGCATGTGACATACCATGAGATTCGGGCATCTTTAGGCATAGACATGAGTCAAATACTACACAAACATTTGGGTGTGAGAAAGCTGTGCTTTCGGTGGATCCCAACAATTTAACTGAGGCACAAAAAACGCATCGCGTCACTTGGTGCAATGCCATGTTTACCAGATTCAACGAAGGGGCGTCAAATTTGGTGTGGGACATAGTAGCAGGTGACGAAACATGGATTTATAGTTACGATCCCAAAACAAAGCAGCAATTAAGCGTATGGGTCTTTCGAGTTGAGCCGAAACCAACCAAAGTGGCGCGCGTGCAAAGTGCCTCTAAGCGGATGATTGCTTCTTTTTTTAATAAAACTGGACACGTGTCGGCTACTGTTGCTTTGCAGAATCGTTATTCCGTGAATAGTGATTGATACACGATAATTTTTTTGCCGGAAGTTATTGACAAACTCCGTAAAAATAACTGTAAACGCCGTATCATCTTGCACCACGATAATGCCAGTTCTCACAGGGCCAGACAAATGAATTTTTGAAGGTGAACAACGTTGACCTTATGAGCCATCTCGCGTACAGTCTCGACCTGGCACCTTGTGACATTTATTTATTTCCAAAAATTAAGAACCAGTTACGCGGTCAACGATTTTCATCACCTGAAGAGGCTGTCGAAAATTGTCACAGAAGAGTGGCATAAATGTTCTCAAAATTGGTTCATTCGTATGAAAAAGTGCATTACTGCTAACGGAGAATATTTTGAGAAACAATAAATTCATTTCTGACTATACATAGTTTTTTTTATTCATTCCGGAAACTTATAGTTCGCCCCACGTACACTGTCGGAAATTGGAGTTTCATTGTGTAGAAATTATTGTTCATTGCAATGTATTCGCACTCTTGGTATAATAAAGCCACATCTGCGAAATGACAACTTTTCAGGAGAGAGGTTTAATATTCCGAAGTAGGAGAATTATACAATTTCACATACCTATACAAGATTTGTTTCATGTATTTCGTATTTTTATAACTTTCATGTGATAAAAGCACTTATGTCACATGATAACGTGAGGCTTTGTTTTTATTATAACAAATGACGGAACGAAGATATCATGCACCTGGTGATAAGCAATTAAATCGCAAAGATCGGAAAGGCACTACCACCGCGCTCGTCACCCAAAGACATGAATTGAAAAGCCTCACGTGCCTGTAAATTCACCATTTAGGGCGCATTTATTCGACACGAAGGCTGGCTTGTCTTTGGCCTACGCGGCGGCTGGCGGCTTCCGCGCGGCGCAGTTGTATTATTCCGAGAAATTTCAATGTTGTTGCCTATAACATAGAATTCAGATTCGCCATTAATGTACGTGAAAGCATGGCCACTGGGCGGTCACCGTGTGACGGGCGCGCAAATACTTTCGCTTACCCTTCAAAACCGAAATGCAGTACATAGGATGCGAATATTAATTTAATTGATGTAAATTATAAATATAAATGTCCGTATAACGTAACTTTATTGATCCAGAGGAATCGGACGTATGTTTACAGAGGTAAACATACGTCAATTTATAAATTTGTTTTCATTCTTGCGTTCCGTGGCAAAACAAATAGCTGGTGGGTGTTGATCTAACGGAGAAACGGTTATGTAATAATCATCACTAGAAATTATACCACAATCCACAGAATTTCACACTTAAGGAAATCAACATTTTTGTGTTATAACAGCCCAATCCGAATTGTCAGTCTTAATATTCACGTTTATATCGCCAACCAACTAGAACATGAACTTTTTATTTTCGACAAATGTTATAGATAACAATGTTTCCATTGAGCTTAAAACAAATTTAAATAGTCTCTGTTACCACCGGTCCAACTCCAAAAAATAAATTCATATGTATAGTGATGTTCAACACCCAGACCCTGTCTGTTCTCCTTGTCATAACTAATTGCATTTTGGTAACTTTCGAGATATTGGCACCTAAAGTTTTTTTTTATTTTAAAATAAAAAACTGATTTTTGTGTTTTAAAGCAATATGTGGTACTGCAACTGTTATGGATTGCTTTACAGATTGTGTAAGTTTTCTTTACGATATTTAGTTTCACCAAAACGTTCAAAGTAAATTTCAAATTTTAGACCTTATGCACGGGAAATTTGTTATTTAAATTTCATAACAAGGTCTCTTCGTAGATATCAACTACTTTCTAAGTTTAGTTAACATAATCTGAATAGTTAATTAGTTTGCGGAACTGATTACAAAAGCTCATTCGAGAAATGGAAAGGCGAAAATATAATAACAATGTAAGCCTCTAATCAAATTTATAATTGGTGAAGATTTCGTAATCGTGAATAAGATCTGTCTCAGGCAAAATAAGTCAATGATCTATTCAACAGTTGTCTGCTTGGACAGATTGACCCAGTTTTGTATAAAGACAATCTTATTCTTTCAACACTATGGTAATAAAATCTTATCATAGTCATCACTTCCTTCACCGAAAAGCTCTTAGTAAATTTCAAATTAAATAAATTGTGAGAAACTTAGAGGTACGAACAGGTACTCGAACCCACGGCCTATGCTTGACAGGCGGTACGTCAAACCATTAGGCTAACACGGCTTGAAAAATCTTATACCAAAATCTTATACTCGTACGATATACTAGAGAATATGACATTAAATTCTTACACTAGCGTCACAGTACTTTATGAAAATGTAGTTTATTATTATTGTAACAAATTTCGAGCAAACACAAAGAAAAACTCCTTTGATCCAGCTTGACTCGAACCAGCGACTGTATGTCAAACCGGGGATACCGTTCTCCCAACTGAGCTACGAAACGCGTCAGCAGACCATTCGAATTTCTCAAAATACTTGTTGCAGATCTTAGGGCTTTTTGCCGTGTGTAAGAAATATATGAAAGTTTTTCCTTCACTTAATCGGGTAACTTTACAGCTATCAGTGGCTGACAAGAGATGTCGCTTTATTAATTGTAATATTTGTTTTATTGAGGATCGCGATGTTTAAAGCGCGGAACACACAGAGAGCGGGTACGGTTCGGGAATGACGCACGCGCCCGCGCTAGGTGTGTTGTTGTTCATATAAACGGAAGTAGACCCGCTGCACTTTAGACCTGACACACGTCTGACGTGCATCCGCTCTCTGTATGTTTCACGCTTTATATTACCATGATATTGATATATTTTTTGTTAGCTTGTTGTTATTATTAATACAAAGATCAAACAAATACAAAGAAAAAATCCTCCTTATCTAAATATAACGTATCGTAATCTATCGTATTGTAAACGTAGGAAGTACCTACGACATATATACATATATATACTGTGAGTTTGTTACGTGTACTTTGGCTGACGATTAACATAGAATTTTGTCTATTACCTATTGCAAGCTACCTTGATTTTTTTTATTGATTATTTGACTAATTATTTTTAATGAAAGGTTTCGAAGAAGAGGCTAACTCTTAAACCAAATTTAAGAGTTAGTCTCTTCTTCGAAACCTTTAAATTGTTCACTTTTATTTTCTTCCTTCAGTATGATAAAAATTTTGAATTTTAGTTTATTTCATAAATCAGAATTACATGATTAATTCACATACACGCAGCCGGAGAAAGTAGTACACGCTAGTGTGGTTTATATCTACGTACAAATACACGTTAAATGTGTGATTTCACAAAATTTCAGTTTCAAAAGTTCAATTTTTTATGAGATTTCTTAAATATTTGCTTATGACCTCAATATTTTGTTTTAAGTCACTCTCACTGCGGGGTCTGTCACCGCTTCTAAAGCCAATGTAAAGTTAATCAATTTTTGCAAAAATACCCTAAATTGTGTGTATATTTTGGATCTTAAATTTCTTTTCTCAAAGGTTTATATGTGGTTTATATATTATTGTTGGTACCTAGATTTCGTTTTATCTCAAAAGTAATGAAAGTAGAGTATCCTATAGAAAACTAAAAACGAGCGAAGGTTTTTGTCACAATTCGATATAGTTCTTTTGTTAAAAAACATCTAAGTGCCATTGACTTTTATAGATGTTGGTTTTTTATTCTTTCTTTGAAAATGCCTTAATAAATTGCATCAAGCGATGACGTTTTCGCTTGCCTTTTCTAATATTTTTATCACTGTATAAAGAAAATACACTACTTTATTTTAACAAAATTTTCTTTCTTTGTTCCTTTAAAATAAAAGAAACAGTATCGCGGTTCTTAGTTTCAGTTTATGTGGAGAAGTACACCTACTCGAAATACTATGATTCTCAAAAGGATTTTAGTTCATTTAATTTCTCTTTCACAGGAACAAGACGCTAATATGGCACCAGGCGATCGCTACGATCCCAACGGTAAGATATTCATCAAGACAATAAAAACAGCACTTTTTTTTAAATATATTATAATGTATCTCTACTGTGAGTTAACACGAACAGTTGCCGCTAGCGACAGCGTAAAATATTTGATAATTTTCTATGGCAAATTGCACTGCCGATCACTAGAAGAAGTAACATTTTGTATACAATTTAAACAAAAATCACGCTTGGCCACAATGACCTGAAGTAGTCTTAGAAAAGAGGAGGTTCTTAATTCAACTATGTGTTTATTTTATGTATGTTACGCGATAACTCTTATTGACAAATTGTGAACCGATTTCGCTGATTGTTTTTTGCTGGAACGAGGGTACCTTAAGCAGTAATACAACAATTTGAAGAAAATATTCCTTTATTATAACTCAGTGACAAATTAGGGAATGAATGAATTTTGTAGTCGGTTTTTTAGTACTCTGTAGCGAGATTACGTGGTCTCGGTGGCACACACTATATATAATTCATGCCATCGCGGCGAAAGGATTTATCAATTGGCGTAAGGTTCTCGCCGACTGTTGCCTAGGGTGCGCTAGACTGTACGTCTAGGAAAGGAATGGTACGACGTGCGGGGAGACTCTTTTCGTTCACCCCACGACGTTCCGTGTTTGTCTAAGATACAAGCCACTCTAGCAATGAATAAGCCTTAAATTGTAATTTTTGGAAAACACAAATTTTAAACGGTTGCTGGACAAGTATGGTAACTCCATACAAACATGGAAGCGCGTCTTGTATGTGTGCATGCACGGAGCGCGCCGTATACGATCGCACATTCGCATAATCTCGCGATCCATAGCGCTGTGGGGCTAGCATGACAGGAGGCGATTAGCGCGGAGCGACATAACGCGCGACGTATTGCTATTCTTGCAAAGAGAATAAAAATATATCGCGTTTCTATGTCGCTCTCACTCAAGTCTCGCCCTGTCGTGCTAGCCGTGCAGGTCATCACATGCACCTTTCATTATTATATGCGAATGTGTGCATCTGTACACGGCGCGCGGCGGGCGTGTTTATAGAGTTATCATACTTGTCTTATACTATGCTGTCATTAACTGTCATCGTATACTCATGGTAGAGGTACCTTAAACACGTTAACAAATTCACAACCTTTAGCACTTGTCACAGTCCCCGGTGTGGTCCCCCACTCACTATTTTATATTATATGGTGTAACTCAATTAGCGACACCTACGTTGTTACGTAGATCCCTTCACATTCACGTTACACTTTAGGTACTTCGTTAGTTATCACTCGTGTTTTAACATTCCTTGAATTTTAATGTGTACTTTGTAAAATAGACCCTTTGCACTCTTTTAAGTGTCCTGAAACACGTATTAAAACCTTACGAAAATGGGACTTGGACGCAGTACAGTCGTAATTAAGGTGTTTTCACATCAGACGGCACAATATAATAATTACATGGACATATACTCAAATGTTTTATTCGTACGGTGTAAATTAATTTTACAAAATTGTTGTAGCAGATTCGCCATACGCGGTACGACATATTTTATTAAGATGAGCACATTATACAACCATAACATTTTGTGCTCATTTCCATGTTATTATCGTGAGAATGTTTTGCGGCTTTGTTTTTATGCGAAGACGCTCTTGCTTATATCAGCACGATTCACTATAGGCCCTTAAAATGTTTTGAACGGGATGACAGATCGAATCGCTTTAGCCTAAATCCTATAGTTTAATGTTAAGTTTAGTATATGAGCATTTCTCATGCAGGTTGATTTCTTGAAATGGCGAAAAGTACCAAAGGTTACGTCGTACTCTGTCCATATTCCGTAATATATTTTTTCTACAGCGCGCCTTTCACATGTGCACAATAGTTCCTGTTTCACAATTAAATCGCACAAACCCTGTGGTGTTTGGAAAATCTCACTGTCCAAAAGTACCATAGCACAACGACACGCACACCTGCACTGTGTTAATAACTAAAATAATGGTGAGTATTGTCCACTTAATTTACAATTAATGAAAACGAAAATGTTCTATGCGAAACAAACCAAATTACTGCCACTTGAGAAAATTGCTATAAGAATCAATTGTAGTGAACATTTTTGTATTTCAAAATATGATAAGCTCTTAACAGTCATCAAGCATTATAATGAGACATCTTTGTTGCAGACTATTACAATCAAAATCAGGAGTTGGAAGATTACCTGCGATTCCTATACCAATACGACAACCGTTTCGGAGAAAGGAACATGGGTCTAGGTGGTACTTCGTTACCTGGACGGAACTTAAATGGAATCGGTGGAAATCTCGTTGGTAGAAATCTAGGCGGCCTTGGAGGGTCATCACTCGCTGGACGAAACACCCACGGTATTGGAGGAAATTTAGTAGGAAGAGATGTAGATGGTGCTAGATACTCAAGATTTGTGGACTCCCTTGGTGGTGGAAACCTTGTGCGTAGCATGGACTATGGCAGAACCAACATGGCACGGAACCTTGATTCCATTGGAGGCGGAAACCTGGTCAAGAAGAACCTCGATCAACTTGGTGGACCTCACCTTATTAAAAGGACCTTGGATTCTTTAGGGGGAGGGAACTTGGTTCGTAACCTTGACTCCATTGGAGGAGGAAACCTTATCTAAAAATTAACATTTCGAAACCAAAAAATTGTCATCACATTTTCCATAATATAAAATTTTAATCGAATTTCGTACAACGTGAATATTGTGATATTTAGTTAAATCTATGTCTTTGTAGCATTTTTGATCATTAAGTTTGTGTCAGTGGTAATTTAGATTTTCAAATACATCATTGCAGAATTGAATATTGACTTTTCATTTTGCAGCCCCTTTACATACAAACAATTAATTTCAACACAGCTGTTTTTAGTTAATGTTTTATTACTTCCGGATAATTATTGTATAAAGGTAAGGATCTTTAAGGAATGTAATTGTATACATCTTAAAACGTTTGAAGTTAAGATGTCATGTTTAAGCGTAGGTTGTATGTATATGTAGGTCACAAAACGAGCAAACTGGACGCTTTGGGCGGTGGGCATCAAAGAGAGGCTCGTGATGTCCACCGCGGCCTGCCGTTTCTATTTTCTAGACGACTCGAGTACGCCAGGTAAGATTTCTTATATATCTAATTGATCTGTCTCGTTAGTGATATTATTTTGGAATTGCCTATCTGTTCGGGTGTGCTTTATTTGATTTCTTATTTAAGAAAAGATAGCCATGGTAGATATGACGTACGCTTTTCAAGCACACGTGTGTTAGAGTTCGGTCTTGCACCTCTGAGTTTTCGAATTTATGTACGAAATTGAGTTTGAAATTTGCCAAGATGATGATGATGAGCTTTAAAGAAAACATCGTGACTAAACCTGCACACAACTGCAAAGCAATTTAATGATTGACGCGTGGCAACTACAGCCAGCAACCCTATCTTTATGAGAGGAGGCCTTTGTCCAGCGGTGGGACTATATTTAGGCTAATTATTATTTATATAAATAAAAATATATAATTAAATTTTTATTGAATTGATACTCAATTATTTTTTGTGAAATTACTCCACTAGTTTGTTATAATTATTAGTACAAAGATCGAACACTCAGAAAAAATTCCTTCAATCCGGTCGGATTCGAACTGACGTCTTCTTGCATACCGTGGCAGACGCTATACCAACTAAGCCACGGAACGAACCAACGGACCTCACGAATTTTTCTATGTGCTTGCGTATCTGATCTTTGTATTAATAATTATAAAAATATATAAATTACGAATTAAAGAGTCCATGATGTCATGCCTTAACGACTATCTCTGTACTTCCGGACCTTAGGTAGTAATAACGCACACACTCAACATAGCATAGGGAAATCCTGTGTCACGGGTGCCATGGACACACACATAGACACCACAAATTACACCCAAACTCAGGAGATAAATAAATGTAGGCCATACAAATATTTCTCCCGGCCCGGGAATCGAACCTGGGACCGCTGCGTGGCAGTCCGGCATGGTAACCGTTTGGCCACAGAGGCAGTTAAAAACGGGAATGGGCGTAGAGCCTCAGACGGCCTCGGGTCGACGCGTGTGGTGGCGCGTATTCGAGTGTGTGTCTAGAACTCTAATTAGGGGGTCGATTCAGAACCTTACGATATCTCAGTTGTCCACCGATTTCTTTTCATTTTTATTCAGAACACCCGAATCGAACGTCAAACTGTCGTATTCGAAACCGAACCGAAGTGACGTCATACCCGTCCGGTTACTCGAACTTCTCGACCGGCAAAGGCTACAAACGTTATTCAGAACACAGTTATCGAATGAAAATTACCGAACGTCCTATTGTTTACAAAGCAAGAACGTAATATGGAAATCTCTTATTATTTTAAATAAAGTCTGGATTTTGTTTAATTTTATTAATTTATTTTAATGCAAGGCTAATGCATTGTTATGTTTTAGGCGTTTAAAGTCTTAAAAATGTATATAAAAGGATTTTCATTTTTCTTATAATCTATTTCACCGACTATCTCCGTAAACGTTGTTGGATAACGATATCGTATCCGAATCCGAATCGAACGTTTAACTCGTATGTTCTGAACAGCTCGGAAAGGGCCCTTCGATTCGAGAACGATATCCAATCGAACGATTGGATCGAAATATCGAAGAGTTCTGAATCGAGGTCCAGGGGTCCTACTCTCGAAGCACGGCAACGAAAAGATGGGCCCGTTCTAAACTGTCAAAACGGACTCATTCGAAATTATTAAAATGCGTTGTCGTACATTCATAATTTTAGCCCCGATCGAATCTCTAGAAAAAAAAAAATAAAAAAAATTGTTTCCGATTTCCATAACACAGGTGCCTTAGTGGTGCTATTGGGATCGGAGCAACGTATGTAATGTTGTCTAATTATTCAGATTAACTCTACACATGGAATAATCGCCAAACACATTTTTCCTTCATTGAAAAGTTCATGGTAAATTTAAAATTAAATTTGGTATTTAAATTCCGAAACAGTCTCGGATCTTTATATTGAGGATATGGGATCAAAGGTAAATAATCCACAACGGCGATAGGCTGAACCGGCAGTGGGCAGATTATTCATTGACCCAAGTTGAATCTCACCGCGTCCAATTCATAAACTCATCGAGTTTATTAATAGCACGACTCTAAAGAGAGTAAAATAATAAAATAGAGAGGATCGCAGCAATTTTTTCTACGTGTTCGATCTTTACATTAATAATTATAATAAACTTGAGGAGTAATTTCACAAAAATGATTGAATACCGTGGTGGTCAAACATCGTGACATTCAAAATTACAATTGTTAAAGCGTCATCTCTAGTCAGCTGCTGGTAGCCGTAAAGATACCTGGCTGAGTGAAGAAATAGATTTCTCAGAGATGGCGCTACGACAAAAAAGTCGATAAAAACCAAAAACAAAAATCTGCAACAAGCACATAGAAAAAGTCGTAAAGTCCGCTAATTTAGAAAAATTCGTAAAGTCCGCTAATACGTTCCGTGGCTTAGTTGACGTAGAGTCTGGCGCGGTTTGCTGGAAGACTGTAGGTCGGATCCAGCCGGCTAGAAGGATTTTTTCTAAGTGTAAAATAGTTGTATATCATGGTGGTCAAACATCGTGTAAAAATAATAATAATAAAATAGAGTTAAAAATAATAAAGTACGTGTTCTTTTGTAAAGGAATCACTTAAACGACTAACTAAACTAAACTTAACTGCTCTCTCTGTGGCCGAACGGTTACCATGCCGGACTGCCACGCAGAGGTCCCAGGTTCGTTTTCCGGGCCAGGATAAATAATTGTATGGCCTACATTTATTTCTCTCGTGAGTTTGGGTGTAATTTGGTGGTTGTCTTTGTGTGTGTCCATGGCACCCGCGACCCAGGGTTTCCCTGGCTATGTTGAGTGTGTGTGCGTTTTATTTCGTTATAACTAAATAAAATTGCTTAACTACTTACCATGTCTTGTAAAGTACCCACTTGTCTGTAACAGACATGGCTCATACAAAATTCAAGTCTGGATAATGTAATTATCCAATATCATTAAGTAAGAGCTTGAACGTGTATCTACTACAAAAAAGGTACAGTCAATTAACTAAGAGCTTGATAAATATCTGCCTCTATTTCACTGCGATTAAAGTAATTTAGAATATCAAGCGAAATTGGTATATGTTACAACATATTATTCATTGGAACCTTTTAATTGGCGTTCAGATGCTCATTGGTATTTAAATCCATTTTGTAAAAGTTGCTGGAAGCTTCCCTAATAAAGTAAAACAAATAAAAAATATTCAGAACAAGCATCTTAGTTTCGTTGCCTTAGAATGAATACCGCCTATGTGAATTAAATATATTTGTCACCTCACTAGCTCGGAAAGGATTTCTTTCTCATTCGAAAAATTTTTAGCACGCTAGCGTGGAAAACGTTTTCAAAATTCGAACTTGACGATGGACTGTGGTGCACCTAACTTTTTCTTTCGACAAAAAAAAAAAAGATAATGACACGTTTAACTACGCGATTTGTCGTACATTACTTATTTACGTAATATAAATCCGTTGGTATATTTTAAACTTAGCTTCCTTCGCTTGCTCATGTTCAAGCACTCGCGTCAAACAATGACTTTGCAGCCTTCCATAACAAATAACTATTTAGAGGAAGAGGAAGAATTGTTTGAACTTAACATTAAAATTAGTTAAATTATACTTCTCTTTGATGCTATACTACTTTAATAAAACAAATATTTAGACAAGTATTGCTTTAGCAATAAAAAAAAATGTGTAGCCGTACTTCTCTAAGGCGATGGAATGTGTACATTTGTGCTGTTATATGCGACTACCTCTTAGGGCCAAAACGACCTGTACATTGGGCGCTGGATTGGGAGGTCCCGAGTTCGATTCCCTGTAGGACCAGTTTTAAGAATGAACTTTTTTGAATAGGTTCTGGTCTGAGAGCTCTAGGTACTGGGAATTCCTTAGTTCGAGACCAGGTAATGGATTTGGTCGTCTGGTGTATTAGTAATGTATGTATGTAGCGTTGCCAAGGTTCCGGATAAAACCGGACGTAGTTAGGCTTTTTGGATGAGCGTCCGGCCAAAATAAAAGGGTGTCCGGCTTGCCCGGCTTTTGTTAAGCTTTTTATATGACCAGTCATATTGCCGTTCCGACGAGTGAGGCGTCTTGACGCAATAATGGAAGATTAATAATAAATAAGTCTGATAATAAAAAAAAATTATAGAAAAGGCCTAGTTTTACGTTTTTTTTAATTTGTCTTACCTATTAAAACAACGACACAAAATCCTTAAAATGTGGGGTTTCCAGTTAAGCTGGTTTGTCTGACCGGCTATTCGGTTTTAAGACCTGGCAACCCTTTAAATATGGATATATGTAGTGCGTATATGTATTTTACTTCTTCACACATTTACATCTTGGAACTTGGTATTATTTACCAAGATAAAAAGACTTGTACCGCTATTGACATAAAACAATGTGTATTCTACGATTGTTACAATAGGAATATGTAAAAACAAATAAACTTGAACGTAAAATCTTTGTATTAAAGATGGTTTGTGTACGTAAGCTGAATTGCATCTCAGCCAAGGAGATATATAAATTAAATTTTGAGTAAACTGTAACGGTTTTGCTACAGCTGAGGTCAATTCGAGCTTATTCAGCTGGATATAATGTATTCAATTGCTTGTCTAATAGAATAATAGCTATGACCTAGAAAACTATACGAAGATACACGCATGGATATATTTAGAGGACGCTAAAAAAAGACTAAATTATGATAATGTTCTTAAGAACCACTGGCCAGATATAATCAAAACATTTAATTTGAAATAATTATAACTTTTTTATTATCAAAACCAACTCCAAAAGTTGGCATATCGGATTTTTTATTGGAATTACACATCGAGTATATAACCAGAAATGGAGACGAAATAAGGGCCATCCATCCCTGGCAACTCATCAGGTAAATGGGCCTTATATCAATTTTCAATATCAACCCTCGTCTGCGCTGAAATCACAAATCAGAAAACTGAAATAGTCAGCGCCATCAACTGACCTGTGTGTACATCTCCGTATATTCCCAAAATATTCTGTATTTATTGTAATAAAGATAATATCTCTAACAATGGCGGCTGTTCCATTAGGTGGTATGGGAAAAACAGCAAAACATCTAATTACAAAACAAACGGAATCATATTTTATCGGTAATTAAATATTAAATATATAATTTTGCAATTTTCGTCCATTATAGCAAAGTTCATTTTAAACTGGTCGATTTGAAGTGAAATAATTACCGACACGCCAATCGGAGTGCAGTTGTCACAGTAATGATTTGGCAGAATAGTTTTCAAACAAATTAAATAACATTTCATCTCCATTTCTGGTTATAATCTCGATGGAATTATATTTATTTGCCAAGTTTTATAGAAACCGGATTTAAATCACCCATGTCCCGTGGTCACGTTTGACTGATCAGCCGAAACGTTGATTTCTTTGAAAAAAAAACAAATATACGCGATTTAAATGGGGAAAATAGTTTCATTTACTTTGTGTAACAATCGCGAAAACCTAAGAACTCGATATTTATTGAAACCGGTTATGGGAAAGTGTGCGAAACCGGTTTCATCCTCTAATTTGCTACCCTTAGAGATGGAATATTTTTTTAAATTGGGATGGGAATGGGACCAACAATTTCCAACAAAAAAAATAATCATCAAAATTGGTTCACAAACGCCGAGTAAGCGCGTAACATAGACAAAACAAAATCTATAGTTCAATTGAGAACTTTTTTGAAATAGGTTAAAAATAATGGCTTCAAATTTTTGGTTTCTTAGCATTGTTTCAGCGAACCTTTTTTTAGTGTGCCTTTAATACTTATATTCCACGCTTCCGTTATGGGCATAGATATAGAATTTTTCTATATCTATGGTTATAGGTGGTATTTTTATTTAGGAGCCAGAAACGGTAATGATGGTTTGATTATTGATTATACTTCCATTACATTCAGCAACTAGGCGGAGGTGTTTTTACGTTAACCTTAAAGCATAGTTTAATAGACGAGTAACTCCGTACAAACGTAACGGCGCGGCTTGTTCGAGAATGTATGCAGAACCGCCGTAGGCTGTGTACGGATGTACATACTCGCATAGTCTCGCGAGGCACTCGCGCTACACAGCGCACGCTACGTTCATTACAGAATTAAAGGGTTCGTTCGGAGTTTAAAAATGACATCCAATAGTAAACGTGTTTATTATTGTGTTTATTCAGAATTGTTCAGCATTTTATTTCTATTTCATAATCATACTCCTATAATGGAGATACCAAACCGCGATAGTGGTACAAATATATGTAGTAGCAGTAGAGCTCCTTGTGAAAGAGTTCATCCAGGGAAGTACTGCCACCTTACCTATTTGTGCCGCCAAGCAGTAATGTCAGCATTCAATAAATTTGGATATTCATCGTAATGAATGGCCAAATTTATTCAATGTTTAGACCTTGTACTAAGACCTTTGTATTAAGAACTAAAATAATGTGATAACCCTATGCGTTTTGAGCGTAGGCATTGCCGTGCCAAACCGATGGAAGTTGGACTACTCGTCTTATGCTTTAAATCTAATTTCGAAGCAAATTTGATAGGCGATGAGCACAGTCCCACTGAGCACGACAGTACTCGTACTGAGGTAGGGTTTTAAGCCGTAATCCATTACATTGGCCCAATGTAGGTTATATATTTGGCAGGCTTACGTGAACTTTTTTCGACATGCAGTTATCAACACGATGTTTTCCATCATCGTTAAAGCAAGTGACAGAAAAGTCAGCATTGTCGGCAGCAGACCGCTTGGAATTGAACCCAGTGAAGTAACAAGCGTTCTTTCGACTGGCTTTTAGCAGTCTAGCAACATTAGCACGACAAGACGCGACTTGCGATTGAAGCGACATATACCTAAGCACGACATTAGCAATCGCGCTTGTATGTCGCTTTTTGCGCAAATCGAATCCGGTCCTGCTAGCGCTGCAGATGCTGTATTTTTGTCCAAATAGCCTATGTTTTACTAGCTAATCCTGTGATGTTATTTGAATGTTACTTTGAATATCATACATTATATCTATATGCCAACAAATTTTATACCACTTACACTTGTAAAAATGTGTTATGAAGGTTTATACGAGTATCATTTTATAGCTTAAGTTATATATAATAAATAAACAATTTTATTCACCTATATGCTTCAAGGTCAATTTCAAGTTCCACAAGTAGTCTGCATTCCACGACGTCAATATATTGTAATACATTCATGAAAGTTTACGATCCACTGACAATTAGTCATTATCGTAATTAATTATTGATTCTACTCGTATAGTTGCATTTAAAAGAACAAATATGTGAATTTTTGTTTTCTATAACTGCTGTGGTGTCTTCGATAACGAAAACTTTTGTATTTCATAACTGGTGCGGTTTAGGGTGTGAAATTGTAATAGGAAATGAAATTGGATCAGGATGGCGTGCATTCCAAGTAAATGTTAGGAAAAAGATATAGTGTTGTCTTACATTGATTTATACTCAAATTTTATGATTTTTTTAAATCGGAACTTATTCGTACTCACGAATATATTTAATTTACCTCGACGTGTTGCGACGTCTATGGTCTCGAAGTGTTGCCATACTTTAAAACTACAATACAAGTTTAACGGCGTTGGATAGAGATGAAATTACTGCCAGATTATTTGGGGCTGGTGGTGTCTTTTGTGCAAAAGACAAATCTAATGACCATAAGAATATTACACTGATATATGGCAATAACAATTGTAAATGCAACCTAACGTGGTAACATTTCAACAACAACAAATTCTAACAATAAGTTCACACCTGCAAAATTACAACTTTTCAGTAGGGTTAGCACGATAAGGCGCGATGTGAGCGAGAGCGACACAAAGAGCGATGCTATTCTCGTATAGAAGTCACGCGCTCTATGTCGCTCTCGCTTAAGATTCTACGAACAAAATTAGTCAATAACATTTTTATGCGTAAATAGGAGAGTTATCTATAGAGTTAGCTATGGTCACATGTGGCTTTAATAATAAAGTTGGTATAACCAAGGGTATGAATTATCTTTTTGTACTAAACACAAACTTGTGTAGGTTGCCCAACGAGCGAGTATACATGTGTGTTGATGAAGTGAAAGATGTGTGTCAGGATCTTATCTAGTGGAAGGCTGTGGTCTCTACCTACCCTGATGGGAAAAGGGCATGAAATGTCCGCAAGTGTATTTGTAGTTGTTTGCATGTATGTACTGTCCAATGGTACTGTAGCAACAAAAAGGTTTTTGTGTTTAACTGTACGTGAAATTTGTGATAGTAGCAAAAAAATTAAATTTGAAATATACTCCCGGACACATAATTCGAGCCACTTTGCATTATCAGTACTAAATGTCCTTGGATTAAATAATGTTTCATTGATCAATAACTAATTCAAGTTTGAAACTGGTGTACTAAACGTCATTTTCAAAAGGTTTTGTTGTATATTTGAATTTGCGAAACCGGGAAGAACTCCTTCTGGAATGTTACTAATTTTTTTTTACTCTAACACTTGAAAAATAAAAATGCAAGATGGCTCGATTTATATGTCCGGGAGTGTACAATGTTTTTCCATAATTAATCAAAATTCCATAACATCTTTAAGTTTGGTAGAAGAACCTGCACTATAATAAGTCTGCACTATAGTAAGTCTAAGGGTGGAAAACTAGGGGATGAATCCAGTTTAGCGCGATTTCCGGTAACCGATTTCAATAACACTTGGCAAATACATGTAATTCCACAAACTTTAGTAGCAGTAGAGCTCCGTGTGAAAGAGTTCGTCCAGGGAAGTACTACCACCTTGCCCATTTCCGCCGCCAAGCAGTAAAATGAGCATTACTGCGTTCCGGTTTTGAAGGGTTATGTATAAGCGTGTAGCTTACCATCAGGCGCACGACTTGTTCGTCCCGTGACTTAATATTATATATAAAAAAAAAGAAACCTTTGAGGTTGGTGTTTTAGTACTCTGTACTGAGAATGTGACGTTGCAACCTCTTTCATCGTCATCCCACATTTTTATCACCCTTTTCTCTGGTTCCTGGTCACCTGCTTTGAAAAATGAAAATCATGTAATTTTCAATGGTTTCATGTAGTCTAACTACTCATCAGTATTTGTACCAGGGGGCCAATCGCGCTAAATACCAACGTAAATATCAAAGCTAAACCAAATATAAAACACTGTCAAAGTGACACGTTGTGTACATTTGCAAACGCGCTAATATCTTAACGTTTGTACTACATACGTATCGTTGAGGGAACGTATTTACCTTTGACAGGCCAACGTTTCAACTTTATGTCACAAAAACCAAAAACCAAATATAAAACGCTGTCAATGTGACACGTTTTGTACCATTTAATATCGCGCTACTGGTCTTTTCTTCTTACTACTGCTTACTTAATGTTCTTTCACTTCCTTCTAGCACCTTCTCTTTCTTATTTTTACAATAAAATATATGTCGACCAAGCTTCTTATTTAATTACGCAATACTCCGCGTGACTCTATTCTCTCTCTAATAATACTCTTACAAAACATGCCTATGTTGTTGGTTATATTAAATTGTATGTAAAAATGTCCATCATGCAGCCCATATGGAGCCAACTACGAAGAACTGCATAAACGTAATTTCGACGAAATTGATCGGTAAGTATATGACGAATATTATTGAAAAGTTCTTAAAAATTATCAAGATAGTTTAGCTTGGTTTATTTCTAAACATCAGATTAAATGCGTTGCTCTTTTGCCAATACTCGCCTGAGTTTTAAATTTAAAAAACTTTTTGATGAGCTATAAACTCCTCTACATATCTTTTAGTAGCAATAGACCACCTTGTGAAAGAGTTCGACCAGGGAAGTACTGCCATCTTACCTATTTCTGCCGCCAAGCAGTAATGTCAGCATTATTGTGTTCCGGTTTTGAAGGGTAAGGGTGCTGGTGAAATTACAGGCACATGATTCTTGTCAACTTATGTCTCAGGGTAACGGGCGCAGTGGCAGTACCCCTCAGATCTTTGCACTTTAAGCTTTCTATTCCCGTCTATTTGGCACCAGATCTCAATGGCGTTAACTAATTTTATCATTATAGTGCAATGAAGGATTAGGTAGGTCAAATAAAATCAGTTAAGTGTTTTGAGAAGAAAATAATCAAAGTGGATTGAAATTGGTGAAAGGTGCACGGCGAAAGACTAAAATAAAATAAAATAACGAGACTAAAAAAATGGACCAGACATTTCAGCGGAAGTAGCTCTCAGTAAGCCTATTTACAATCCTCAGGTCGGAGCTGGACCCGTTTGTGAAGAGGAACTTCGATGAGATTGACCAGACGTCGATGCCGTTCCCCTACGCCGTTAAGCGCTTCTACCGCTTGTACGGAAACTACCTTGACACGCCACCGTACTCGTAAGGCCTTAGGGCATTTCTTTGATACTAAATGCCTAATGTCATATCGGAATCCGAGATCGGATTTTCACATTAAGACTATACGATCCGACACAATAACGATAATAATATGAACATGAATGTAAATGTTTTGGCAGCTCTATACAGTGTGTTATTACAATTGGTAACCGTACGAGGTACACCTTCTAAATTTGCGACAAAATGTCATATTTTTGTGACGTAGTACAAGAAGTGCCTAAGTTCGTATTACTTACACATTTCCTGTACCAAACCACAGACACCATGCCATTATTATTATCTTAAATTTAATGTGAAAACGCCCCGATCCTTGCCGGTCCGATGTAAAATCTGTATTTTACTCTCCCGATCTTTAAAATACATCGAACATCCGATTACTTAGGTATTATACAGGCTGTATATTTGAAAGTGAGACATATTCATACATCTCATAGTAAATCATGTTACAACTTAACATAGACTTAAATAAAATTAGGATATGGGATAGAACAAAACATAAATCAACAAAAATATGTTTTGAAGTGTACATAGGAATAAACCGTTGTTTCCCTTTACGTTTGATTTCGAGTGCAATGAGAATACTACCAAGCGAGGGCCGAGTGAGATAGCAACAATAACAATGATTTCACAATTACGTTTTAGCTTATGTTAATTATTTTTTACTTGAACTATCATCGAAATGTTTTACATACTAAAAAAGATAAGTTTATGATTTAGTAACTAGTTATCATTTTATAAGAATTGAGGTTTTTGGCGTAGTTAAAAATGTAAAATCAAATTATTTACAATGATTGATTTTTCAGTTATTTACAGTTTATTTACACTTACGTGGTACGGAGCAAGTGTTCAAAATGTCTACCGTTTTCCACAATGCATAGTCTAGCACGGCATAGTGAATTTTGTTTTAAATTGTACAACACAAGCACATTTTGTCTCACAGTATAAAATGCTGAGATAATTCTGTCACGCAACACTTCGACACTGTTCACCTCCTCCGCGTAAACTCCGATTTGGGAACATTTCAATAGCTTGCCTCACACTATCACCACTTATTGCGTAAAGTCGCACCATCTCAGTCAATTTGATGTTAGAATAAATATCCATTTTGCGGCGATCGGGTGAGCGGAAGTACAAATAATTTACGTGTCTTCGTTAGATCAAGATCGCGCGCGCACTGAGCAATTTCGCGTATGCGCTCGCGCCCCCACCCCCGACCTGTGCTTCGTGTTTCACCGCCGTGTCGCCACCCGCCGCTGCGTCGGAGCAATAATAGTGATGTGCATAGACTTCGATAATTAATGTTGTTCTCAAGTCGATAAAAAAATGTCTGGAAGCGATCGCTCTTAACGATAAGGTCGCCTTTGCCCACATTAGTTTAAAGCTGTCTATGTACTGTTTTTATTCTTGTGTGTGTACTATCTATCTATATTTTGTATAGTATTTAATATACTAATACGATAAACGAACGAAAAAAATAGAAATTATTGGTTTCCGATCACAAAAGTACGCGATTCAATTATTGTATAATTTGTAAAATGACTGTTTTATTCTGGCATGATAATTCATAAAGTGCTTTCAGTCATTAGGATTTAAAGTGTTTCTTTGACGATTTATTCAATTATTTATTAATTAAACATCAAAGACGGCGTTGTTAAAATGGAGAGTAGGAAATCTCATTACAATCTTTAATTACGACTAGTCGAATACAATACTACAATACGACTGCCAGGAAATAAATAAAACGAAATTATATATATACGAAATTAATTGTATTTTATTGAAAATTGTTTGTATATTTTGAGAACGTACATGGAAGAATTTCCCAAACAACAATAAAGCATTTTTTATTCTCTCTATTCCATATAAGTTTAGGAAATTTTTTTTTACTAAACATATATTGTTGGCAATGTTTACGCTGACCTAGAGGACGCTACGGATACGATAACCAGCTATTTCATGTTGTATAAATTAAACAAATAATAATTTCGAGAGTAAAAAAAGACGAAAGATAATATAAATATCTATGTTAAATAATATTTTTTTTAAATTATAAAATTTGTTTAAATTTTTAAAATTTGTTTAAAGGTAAAACCACAAAAGTGACATTTTCCGAAAGTCTTTAATTTATGTAGCTATGGTAAGAAAATCACTATTTTTCTGCAGGTGAAACTCAATAGCAAAAAGCTATAAACTGAATAAGAGTTTTATCTGCAGAGAGATGGTGATTTTCTTACAACGGGTACATATTTTATGGAAAATGACACTTACGTGGTTTTACCTTTAAACAGACGATATGTATGTTTGTAAAATCTTTACCTTTTATTTCCAATTATTTATATGATAACATTCACATTTAAAATTTAGACAGCAGGCTTCTCAAGTAATTCATAAATGTGATATTTCTTTTCTTTAGCAGGTCGAACTTCGACAAGAAAAGATTGTACCGGCCGGAGTACCCCATGGACGAGATAGACCTGTCCCACTTCCCCATTGGCTCGAAACGGTCTCTCGACAGCTTCCCTTTCTCTCACGCACGCCGCTAAAATACCTCCCCTTGCCTCAACGAATCAAGAAGATTACAACTTCAAATACTTATAAATAAACAAATAAATTATAATGACACTTCACACAACCTGAGAAAAACAAATGAAGAGCAATGGGATAGGGCGTGAGATGCGCCAGAGCGACTTACGCATACAGAATAGCAATATTTCCCCTGGGTTTTTGTTAATCCAGTAACATAATACATAATACTCACTTTAATTAAGTCTGTTTTGTCAGTGTTTAATAGAATTCTCGAAAATTTGGCGTCAGGAAGGTGGAATGCAAAATTGTTTACGCTCTTCAGTTCCAACACACGGATTTATACCTTTTGGAAATATAAAACAATGTTCTTGCAAATTTTGTAAGGTCGTACTAATACAGACTATTAATTAATCGTGATTAGAACACGAACTAACCCTGTTGTACAACCAAAACTTCGTACATTTAGATAGTTAATTGGTAGCATACTAAAACGTTATGAAAATTGTTCTCGTATTCGGTTCAGCTATTAAACTTTCAGATATATAACTAAATAATGTAAATTCCATTAAAAATGTGTAAACTATGTACTTATAATAATATTGCTTTGTAAACATATACCAATTTAGAAAATGGAAAATTGTGAATGTTTGCAAAATAATCGACATTTAATCTTAAAAGTTGACCAGAAAATTATGACGTAAATTTAATAATCTCAGACACTTTTATAGAGGATGAAAGAGTATATTTGATTTACTTTTTCTTAAGATTGTGGTCGACTTTTAGGCCTATCATCCACCAGAGCGGAGAAGAAAAATTTTAACAACTCATGGGGTTTAAATAGATAAAAACACTTTATTTACTTCCATAACAACTTGTTTATTAAAATCAAACGCTATGTATAAGGATAAAATCAAACAACTTAAAAATAAGAATAAACAAAGTGCATCATTTAAAAGTCATAGCATTGAAAAGGTCTCCTCTACATTGGCAAAAGAGATACCACTCGTTATCTCAGACATTTCAACCGATTGGGTCTGCTCTAAATTTAGTAAATAATAACAAGATTCTATTGCAATTATTTATACAAAAATCGAACAAACTAAAAAAATCCTTCCATCCGACTGTACTCAAATCAGCGACTTCGTCAAACCGGGGCTACCGCTCTCCCAACCGAGCTACGAAACGACTCAGCAGACAGATATGAAATTCTCTATGTGCTTGAGATCCTATCAGTTGTTCTCTCTCTCTTCATCGCTCTGGATGATGTGATTTAATATTAAAACTATTATTAAGGAGAGAGAGGTTTCATAACCAACACCTGATTGTATCCAGTAGATACATTTTGTATATGATTAACTTAATGTACCTGGGTAAATTCCATTCAAGTTTTGATGATCCAAATGCATGACGTACTTCTTCGAACATTATTTTTTATTACTTATAGAAATTATATTGAAAATAAAATATTAAGTGTTCTTCTAATATTGTTGTTTTCTTTATGTGTGGCATCCCAAGAAATTCAATATAAATCATATTTTTATTTACAGAAATTAACCCCATGAATGTTCTGTAATATTTCATAGTTTTCAAGATACAAAATATGTTCCATTTTCATAATTAATTCATAGTATAATAAAGCCACATGTGATCATATGTCAGAAGTACTTTTATTACATGAAAGTTATAAAAATGATACGCAGTCATTGACGTACAATTATATGGACGTCGGGTCCGCGCTAAAAAGTGTCCGAACTTATAGGGCGTTAAAATCATATACAGAGCGTCATTCACGCTTTAGTCCTCGTTTGTTCGATTGACAGCGAAGCAAGCAAAATTAGACAGTATTGCGATGACATTACAATTTAAATTCACCGTTTTAGCTTTTTCATATTCCTTTACATGTCACTACGTTTAAATAGGTTGACTTGGGACATTTTTTTCGTGGTTTTTGTATTAGACCCGTAGTCCATTTATTTGTAAGTCAATGTAGTACATAAATGTTACTTATTTATGTGAAGTTTTATAACCGTCTTTTTTAAGTATAAAAAAGTTGTAAGAACTTTTTTAATACCCCGTGACGGGACGAACAAGTCGTGTGTCTGGTAGTAAGCGACCCGCCTATCTATGACAGTTCCAATGTCATTTAGAGCTTTAAAACGCAAAGATCTTATGGACAATGCCACTGCGCCCATCACCCTGTGCGAATTAAATGACTGAGACGAGCCGATGCCAATCTGACTACATGGAATTCAAAATTACAATCAATCTTTTCTAACTTAAAATATGTAATATATAGAAGTTACAGAGCGTTGTCAGCTATGTATTGCCATGCGACTTACACTTAACAAGCGCGCGTTCCCATATTGTCGTAACGTTTTGTTTCTCGTTGGACGACTGTCGCGCCTAGCTGTTCCCACTAGATCGTAACGAAAATTTATTGGTTCACGGCCATCGCCTTGTCGTTTGCACGACATAATCGTTTGAAGCTGCGATTATCTGTCGTCACATTGTTATCGTGACGTTTTATTTATCATCTGACGACTGTCGTTCTGGCTCTTCCCATTGACATGACAGTCTGTCGTCGTAGCGTCAAAAAAGTCGTGAATGACAGCTAATCGTGTTGGTCTATGTGTGAACAACTTTATTTAAATATACAAGCTACGACACTAAACTGCACGACTGCCTGTCGTCACGACATTATAGGAACGCGTTCTGAGTTAACAAGTCAAAAGTTGACAAATCTCATGTACCTATAATACCACCAGCACCTTTACTCTTCTAAACCGGAATGCTTACGCTTACTGGCGGCAGAAATAAATAAGGTGGCAGTACTTCCCTGGACGAATTCTTTCACTAGGAGCTGTACAAAATCTATCTTTAAATCCTAATACCTTTGCCGTGTCTAAACCAAACACTGTAATATCAAAACCAGCATTTTGATAAAAAATGACGCAAAGGGCTTTTCGTTTTTTCGCATGTTTTTTTGAAATTTTTGACGTTAATAAAATAAAAAGATATAGATAAACTAAAGTTGTACATAAGATATTAAAGAAATCTGTCTAGTTATTATAAGATTGCTTTGGAAAAAAAAGCTATTTCTATTTATTTATTTATTTATTAGATTTACAAAACAGTTTACATTCACTCCTTAACCAAAGCTTAAACATTACTACTAGTTCTACTCTTGAATGTAAACCTAAACATGTACATACACCATGACCAATCATGAGTAAACAATTTTGTTTGAAATATAAATTGTTTGTAAATTAATATAAAATACTTAGGCACAAATAAAACTGTAACCTTAAATAAAATAGAATTACTATGACTATAACCATGAAAGAGAGAAACCGTGGTGGTTGTGGATTCGATTGCGAAATCTTTTAATTCTTTTAATTTATTGATAAACGGCCAAATTTATTTTCCCTTGATAACAGCAGAATATTTCTTCTTGTTATGAAATTACAAAACACTGGAAACAGCTCTCTCCTGACAAATAGTCCTTAAAGCAAGTCCTACATGCGAATAAGTTGAAGATTCCACGCCAATGCCGCAGGCATCGTGTGAAAATACCAACAGTCGAGCGAAGACCTGCCATTTTACCTTACATGAGAGGTGTTACAGACAAGATCGGAAGAGTCCTCAGGCGTGCACCTATCAAGACCTATTTCAAGCCCCTGAGGAAGATTTCTCAGTTCCTGGGACGCGCGAAATGTAACATCCCCTTACAGTCCGCTGGAGTTTACAAGCTTGACTGTGAGTGCGGTCTCTCTTCTATTGGACAAACGAAGCGAAGTATTTGTACCCGCGTCAAAGAACATATAGCTGATGTCAAACACCGTCGCGTAAACAAGTCTGCATTCTGCGAGCATGTCATGGATAAACCTACACATTCAATGAAGTTTGACAAACCCCAGGTAGTTGCAAAAGATGTCCGTTATCTACCCAGGATGCTGCGAGAGGCCATTGAAATTAAAAAACATCCTAATTTCAACAGGGAAGACGGTTTCTGCGTACCACCAGTTTGGGATCCCATATTTCCTCTGATGAAAAATCCCAAACAGACATAAGACTGCAGCACTAATATGTTTAAATATGTTTTAATTTATATAATTTCCATTAATAATTAATAATAAATAGAACTTAATAAAATTCATTCAATAAAATAATTTGTAAAACGTAATGTAGCGTAAATTGGAATGTTTCTTTGTAAAATTAAATAAGGTATTTAATTAATAACTTTTGTAACTATAGTGAAAAAATAGGGTGGTTTGCATTAATATTGGACATAACTGGTTTCTTGATGACTGTACCACCTCAGTCAACCATGACCATGGGACCTGTAAAGGGCCTGAAAGGTCGGTTTGTTTGAAAAAACAAATAGCGATTTAAATCCGGAAAAATTGTTTCATTTCCTAGTTTATATCAAATCAGTAATTTACTATAGATTTATAAAAAAAGGTTCCTAAGCTATTCGAATCAAGCGAAATAGTTATTTCACAGATAATTATGTTCTATGATTGCATTTTAGGATGATTTATTTAAGATGATTTAGGATGAGCAAAGTGGAAATTTCTCGAATTATGGTTTCTTTTCACGTTTTTCCTCTTAAGTAATGAAATGAAAACGGGTCGAAACAACCTCAAATATCTAATATACAGGATAATTTAATGGACTTCTTATTTACTTATTTCATTTTCTTTTCATCATTGCTAATAAAATTAATTATATTCGTTACGGCTACGGGGTCATTTCGTATAAGGCTTGATAGTGTAGTCTTCCTTTGGACGTCACTTTTTGGGTCAACTACATTGCCACAACAAATATCTGCTATTGGGTAGGTGCTTAAGAAAGTAACACTCTAAGGTGGTTGTACAAATAAGAACTATTATCCAATATCAGTAGATACATGTTAGAGATGTACGCTGATCGTCAAATGTTCGGCGGCAGGGTTTGATGGTTTTTTGTGATCTGTATGAAATCGGCTAAATTTGAAAACCTAACTCCGTTTTTGGACGAAATCCTTGTTTACTTTTCAAACGCAATATAGGGCAATTAAACCTCAAATTATAATTTATAAACCCTTTTTTTACTTATAAAATAAATGTATACTCATAGATTGTCAGAATGATTATTTCTAGTAGTTAAGTTTTTGTGCTTAATCAAAATTTCACATTGATGGATGTTCCGGAGTTTACAAATTTAGACGAAACATATTTTGCAGGTGTTCAAAAATGAACTAAAACATTGAAAATTAAACTATTTTCGGATCTAAATATCAGTCAGCCGTGACCATCGTGAACATAGGACCTGTAAAGGGTTTGAAACGTTTGTTTGAAAAAACAAATATACGTGATTAAAATCCGAAAAATAGTTTCATTTCCTATGTATAACAATAGCTAAACCCCAAAAACTCGATACAAAAACATCGTTAAAATCCATGTTCTATTCAAATTCACATACTTGCTTACTCAAACCAGCGACTGCATGGCAATGAGCCACGGAACAAGTCAGCAGACCTTATGAATTTCTCAATGCATTTCTTTTAGATCTTTGTATTTTTTGCCGCTTGTGAGAAATAAGCAATTTAAGTCAAATATG